TTATCGCATTTTAGCGGGATTTTACAATCATATCTTCTATAAATATTATTTACCCTTCTTCCAAAAGTTTAATAAACGGATTAACTATTCATCATCTAACGTTTAAACGAACAAAAATAGTATCACGGTTTGACTTTCTATTGAAAGTGAGCGTAATTTTGACCTTGACCTTTGATTCTGAATTCATTCGGGGTATTCTCATACTTCATCTTTGTAGGTTTTTTTTATATCTAATCCTTAGGAAATATATTAGATAGACTGATGCTACTGAACGGGTTGGCACATTTCTATAACTAGTAACAGTAGCCTTCGCCCTCAACATTGGAACCCTGAAATACGGACTCGTTCGAGTATTTTCAAACTTGCAATTCGTATTCTGTTCAATCTAAATCTACAAAAGATCCGTTAATACACTGAAGCCGCTAGAGCTACCTATATGGCATTTAGTCATAAATGGTGAGGGTATAAAGACAACTGATTTCTTAACATAACACATACAATTAGATTACTTCAAAGTCGCCATTATAAGATAACATATTGGAGAAAGAAGATATAAACAAGGATTGTCTGCAGTTCCGCTAGAAAGAAACAGGAGTTGAACCAACACTTTGGGGGAAGGAAGCGGTTGTTTTGCAACATATGTAAAAGCTTATTGACATACTTATTTACTTCAGCTGCTCAACCTGGTAATTGAATTAAAGCAAAACAAATGAACATATTTCTTTTAATATTCCATTTTTATTCACATTTAAATTAAGCTACAATCAATTACATTTTTTAAAGACGACCAATGTCTTCATAATAAAATAACCAACCTTTAAATACTTTAAGCAATTAACATTCTAAAAGGACAACCAAATGTATGTACTGTGCACAAAATGGCGGATACTTAAATGGCAACGCCCAAATAAATTATAACGTAGCGACATGTCATGATTAAACTGATGGCTACTGTGGAGAAAAAGAAATTTCTATCAAACAAGGAATTCCAGTATAATAATATGTAGACGTTACATACAATATTTCTACATATTTACAATATTTAGTAACATTTATATCACATTTATCTTCCTTAGCTTTCGCTAAAGTCCCTATAGTATACAGCAAATATATACATAATGAATTATTACAAGGAACGAATGCTTTAAAACTTTTTGATAAAATATGTCCTGTTCCAAGTGGTCATTCTAACCAAACTAAGGTACTAAGCTAGATACGGAAAGGGCGAATTAGGTTATCCAATAAAAATAAAGAATCAAAATAAGACCCGGAACAGGAAAACTGACCAACCTATTCATGCGATATAAAGGTTACATATGATAGTATACCTTTGTATTGAAATAAGAAAATGCAAAGGTAACATGCAATGATACATGATAAATCAATATTAAGAATCAGAATTTTAACTGCAAAAACGCATTAAAATGAGTTACGATTTATCACCATTCAACAATGAAATAATACCATACCACTATTATAAAACATTTTCAGGAAATGCCAAATAGTTGTAAAGAATGCTACAAATAATACCTTCGTAATAAAAAGGGGTCTACATGACCTTTATTACTTGTTCTTGTAAAATTACTCTTGACACAATCAGTTAAAAAAGTCACGATGCTAGCAATTTTTAGCAAGAAGAATGTAGGTATAGAAATGTACGGTACAAAAGTACAAAATGTATATCAATATAACTAAATGAAAATCTAAAAATAACGATTACATGCACAGAAAAGTACAATAATTCTTTTATTCAATTACAAATCCATCATCTACTTTTTCGGTGTAATGAAATTGTAATTATGTGGAAAAAACGAAGGGCATTTCTTGTTCAATTTAACATGTGAACATCTAGATCTGTTACTTTTATTTTCTAGGTCGCAATTTATTTATGCTATCATTTTGTTGTTTTATACACTATATACACTCTCGTGTGGAACTATATCGATTTACAACAGTGTTTCAGTCTTAACGTGAAATTGAAATAATAAAATGACAAGCTCTCAATTTATCAAAAATTTTGTAAATAAACGATGCATAACACAGTTTTCGTTTTGTACGGAGGACCACCATGCAGGCTATAAAATGCACCGTGAAACATATCACAATAGGCGTAAATTAATATGTTATTCTAATAGCTTCCTAAATTAGATATTGAGCCACTGGTAACGAATTGTGATATCTTTGACCTCACACCGTCTGCTCTAAAAAGACATAACTAAAAACTGATATATTCGAAATGTAGCACGTTATGTCACGACCTTGTATCGCTTTACTTATGGGTCTCAGAATAGCGGTTCTTATCACTGGAGAATTTCACTTGTAAAGTAAATGTGGAATACAACTTGGCAGGTATACTCCTGGCAAGGCCATACATTTTGCTCTAGATGGCGATATATTATGCAAAAACGGACAAAGTTCTGTAGAAACCAAATACCCGTTGTATCAAACTGAAAGTAGTTAGCCACTAGAAATTGTATTAAGAATTAATCTTCTACTAGTACATAGAAAAGGATGAATAACTTTTAGGCTGGTTTTTTGCCCTTAATTTCTGGATTTCCTCCTGTACAACGATGCAAAGTTTTAGTATTTTTTGTTTTCCGAAAAGTGTAAAAAGAGGTTTCTATAAGATATTAAGCAAAACTGCACAGACTTATATATTTAAAACATTTAATTGAATTAATATGATTTTCATTGATACAATAAAAAAAAAACAACTGTAAAAGGTCATTTCGATAAGATATTCTATAATACAAATCATTTGCAGTTTACCACCTATCCTAGTCAACAACTCTGGGTGTAAAATGAACCTTAATAGTTTACACGCTTCACGAAAATTGTGTCCATGCACAGTTTGAACAGAAAACAATTTGGAATTCCAGGGGCTCAAAATCAGCCTTACCGCTACATACCCTTTGCTGAATAGTTTACGAATCAAATATCACTGTGAGACGAGTGTCCGCCCTGCATGTGCTACGGAACTAGAAATTATTCTGATATATTATTGCAATTTATCTCAAAATGATGATTATATCTTTATATATATATAGACAAATGCTTTGGTTCGGTTTTCTCAACAGCTTGAGTTAGCGTAATCAAATCTACCTCTTCATGAAGACTCGTCGGTTCGATTTTGTTTAAAAGTTTTGACATCTTGAAATATTTTTCTGTGAGACTTATACCATAATCTTTATTTAAATATTCCAGTTTTTTGACTTAATGAAATTACATATACAAATTTAACAGAAAGTAGCATGAATCAATAGCGCTACAAGGCCCGTTAACACATGGTAACACATTTACAGCCTTGGTGATCGTATCACGTCTGCATACTCCGGTATAGGTAAACACGACATACTATCTAGGCTGTAAACCGACATACGTGATTTCTTACTTTTATGTTTTTATTGCAAACAAATCATGATATTCATGAGTGATGTTGACCATTCCCTTCTCCTTTACTTTCATCAAAACGAACACCTGTCGTTTTTGATAACACAACATTCTTCACCTGCTACCAGGGATAAGAAACACATAAAATTTCACTTCCGTTGGTTTTTATGAAGGATGGATACAATTAGGTAGTGCTATTTTTATTCTTGCCTTTTTTTTATAAAAAAGAAAAGAAAATGTTTTCACAGTGTTAGCAATGATTCGATGATGATTTCCAGGCCACTACTGGAATAAAACTGCCCAACTGATAAACCCAAGAACTCAGATATTATTATTTCAGTAATAACGATGAATTTATATTGAAAAAAATAGCATTTTGAGGAAAGAAAACACTGGAGACGTCATGATTATGTGAAAGGACACAATTTTGCATCAAAAACGTACGAGGGAAACACAAAAAACAAACGCATTCACAGTCGGATCGTCGGGAAAATTGTACTTGATAAATATTTATGGATTAATATTATATTATTAATTATGTTTTGGAAAATAAGACCGTTAAACAAAGAGGAACATTCCTACTATGCAGATAATAGTTATTGATATATAGGTTATGTGATGACGTCACAGTAAAAATCAACCAATTAAGATCAGAGAAACACTAATGGAATGCTGGCATTAAAGTACAAATATTTGTGGCTTATGTACTTATGTAATAATATAAAAAGGTACACACTGTTGGTATTACGTCGTCATACAAAAACTGTGATCTTAATATACATCCGACTAACTGCTGTATAGAGAAAACAAGCAGGAAGATGTCGTATTTAGAATTCCATTTTCGTCTCCACTGTTCCTAAAAACACGTCGATAGTTAAGCTTACCTTATGTAATACGCAACAGTGTGCTCCATACGGGCGAAGAAGGTGTCTGGTACATGCAAAGTCAACGTTAATCTATAAAACAGATAAACTGAGAGATTGAGACAGCAGTTAATACAAATTACTAAACATATTACATATCCAGTCTCACAAATATGTTTCAGCCCAACCTTGACAAAATACCTATGCGACTACCTAGTGTTGGTAGTGTATGTTTCTTCATCAATATAATTAGTGTCAATACATTTGGATAACACACATAGAAAGGTTCCAAATTGTTCTTTGCCGGCTACATATACACCACAGTATGACTCTTGAATATGAGGAGATAAAATGTTTTGAAAATTATCCAAATTATCCATACATGTCCGTACAACTTACCTGTCTATGCAATGCATTCCTGCAGTTGTCTGATCTATAAAACTGTTCACAATCTATATATTCACTTAATCTTAGGCTTACCTATCTTTAGCTCAACACTAAGCACATGTTTGGCAACGTTCATCGGGGTGTACCTGTACCTGCTTATGTGGTGCACTTACGTACCGTAAATGTTGATTTTTTCTTCTGATAAATGCAACTATTGCACGAGAGTCACAATGGTAAAATATTTGTTATAAACACCATATATATAGAGCAAATACTTAAGACAGACTTCAATTAAAAATAGTCTCGCAATTTGCAGAATACCATTCTTGCACAAATACATGTATATAGTTTTCTGTTTTCTGTTAATCTCTCTCGCTCAAAAATAAACACGTTTTGAATATAAGCATATTTCTCATGAAAGTATTGCATGCTCACTGCATCTTAGCTACGTTTGATGTTTTTGTATTTCATCGTGCTATGAATGACACAGGTGTACATATTTCTATGTAGAATGAATATGTATGAGTTAATTATAGCAGGTCACTTTAAAACGAGGGTTGACCGGTTATGGCACGTCAACACTGCTCTGCCTTCTCACATAATATGGTCCGAGTTTAGGTTTGTTCTTCTCATCTTTGGCTACTGCAAAATACAATGGAAGTGTGTTAGGGCATTCGTAGGTACATTGTACATATACCAAAATAATTAAACATATTATGAGATCATTTGTAGATAATAAAGATCCTTATTTTTCTCCAAATAAACAATCGGTATACGGGTCGTAATTTGAACCACGTCTTGATTATTTCGGGTTTTTGTTTTAAAGCAATAACGAAAATGAAGAACAAATCTTTTGTGACGTTTTTTTTTTATAGAAATGGCAGTTCTGAAACTGCAGCATCAGAAAACAGTACTAAAAGCAGATATTCCAATTATTTGACGATTTTAAAGGTTGACAATATTCGATATTCCTGGCAGATACAACCTGTATACTGGTGTTATTTTAGAACATTGTTATAGGAAAGTGAGCTCGAGGTCTTTAAATGATATAAGAAAGCTACAAAGTCGCGGAAACTTTATCATTACTTAATATACAAACTCAATAAAATGAAATTGGCATCAAATATTTTGAATATTAAAACCGTTGTATGTTTTTTTATAGTCTTAATTTTAATAAAAAAAAACTTGTTAGATTTTGAATTTGTAGGTGTTACACGAATATCATCTTTGGATTGCAAAATTAGAATCTAATCCAACTTATCCGAACCAGTCAAGAAAAACTCAGATTAAATAGTACAACACGAAACAGGTAACACGAGAGATACATTGTACTTTGAACTCTTCAAACTCTCTAACGGATGTGTAATGTTAACTTAAACGCCCTGCTATCAACTAAACTAAACACGGTACTGATCACCGAGTACATCTATGTCATGAAACTAAGATCATGTTATTTAATAATACTCCCCGATTTAATTAAACATTCTTAGAAAGGCAGGAATGCCATCACTATTTGAGCCGCGTATTCGTATGATATACTCAACTTTCTATTGCTACTGTATGTCAGAGACATGTAGTACAAACACATCAGAGAGTAAATCGGTTACACAAAGTCAGAGTGAGTGAAATATGTCGGCTTACATGAAAACTGGACGAAGTTCATTCCCCACAGTATGCTCCATATCCACCCTACAATGACGATGAAGGTGATCATTTGTAGCAACGCCGCGAGGAGGTTAAGGACGAATGCGTGAAATCGTTTACCGATCCTGGTCGTGGCACCACAAAACACAGTGAAGGAAGAGATGAATGTACCTGGAAAGACAAAGACGAATATATTAGGTTCCTATTTAGATTAGTTGGACATATGTAACTATATATTGAATCTAATTCGTGAATATAACACAACGACAAAACAAAATAAACTGTGAAACATTAAAAAAACATCAATACCGAAATGTCAACAGAATCATAATTCGAACTCTTCATCAATAAAACTAGGGCAAATTATGAACAAATGATATATGTACATGTAGACCCATGAAAAGGTGCAAGTATAATACGACCAGGTGTTCTGGAAAGGTAGGCATCCTCTGCTTTCAATGCCAACAACCGCTATGTAAATCTAGGACAACTCCAAGTAATGTTTGTCCTCAAATCGAGAACTCGGGTAGTGACAACAAAACCACAATGTTACACAAATGACCAAGTTAAAATTCGTCGACCTTCATATCACACAAAGAAATAACCTTATATCATGATGGCGACCACAAACTTGTCCATAATCTTCATCAACATTCTTAGACAACAGAATCATCAACTGATTAATCTTTTTAGGATTTTGCGTGTTGCATCCTCTTATGTCATATCAAGACGGTATAAATAGATTAGAGGGCTACTCAGGGTCCACTGTAAGTGCTACTTTACTGAAATATCGAAATCTGGATATGTCTAAGGAGACAACACCGAAAAAGACGAATACGTAAGAGAATGAAGAGAGCACTGAAGAAATTACCCGATTTGGTTCCGGGTCTATAATTAATGAAGGACACATTACAGTCAAAACATCAACGAAACCCATACGCGACTATGACTGTATGACCTGAACTCTGAAATCATCTAGTTTTCTACCATACATTGATGTCATTAAAAGCGTATCGTGTTAGAAGATATTAAAGGATCCTTTTGCTGTTTGTTTAGAGTTTCTTCTTAGAAAGTAAAAAAACATTTTTAGATCCCAAGCGTTTGGCGGTAGATGATTTCTTTATTCTTCGATCTCCCCTAACTAAGCAGAAGACAAAGAAGAAAACTTTTAATTATGCAGGGACCCAACACTAATCGCCTCCTACAATTACATGCCGTGGGTTGCAGCAATATGAATAAAAATGTATATTACATATCAACTGTATCTCGATACGAAATTAAATGACAAGTGTTTTAAGGTGTTCATCGAGTTTTTTCTTCTGTGTTTTCTCAACTCACGGAACAGTCGGAAGATCGAACTTGATAACGTTGCAACATGATTCGTAGGGCACGGGTTTATTGTTTTACATCAGGATTGTATGAAGAATTCATTAAGCGTCATTCAAAAGAAGTTATAAACGCAATTTGAAACACAAACTTTAAAAACTCATACTTGCTCATATCACATACGCATTTTACAGCTTCAATCGTAAAGACAACTGCAAAACGTAACTGTAAATTTGGCTCCTGCATTTTTTCTAAACAATAACATCACGTTTGTTTGTTTGTCACACTACTCGTGGTGGTCATTTCCTTTATATTTGATCCAGTGTGTTGAATATTTTGCAAAAAAAAATAAAAATATATGTATTGCTTTTTTTTCATCTATTTCTTAAATGAATTGTAATGTTAAAAAATATAGTATCAAGCAGTATTAATCATTTGTATTTCGACTGTCAAAATAAAGCGAAATAAAATTTGGTACAAGGCTTTTTCATGGCAACCGTTCTCTAATGACACTAGAGAACAGTGCTAACACAGAAAACCTCACTGATACATACCGATGTAAATAATGGTTGTTTGGCTTATACATACATGAAGAAATACAGACATACTTTAACAAAATATTAAGAAATGAGAAATAGGAAAATGAACGCAAGGTAGAAAACATTTACAGCTAATACACAGCTGACAAAGTTCACCTGCACATTCATGATATTGTTCCATGATCTTTACATGACCCTGAAACTACAAATATAATATATGTTCACAGTTATCCACTAAAATAAATGCGTTTGCCAACCACAAGCTGTTATACTTGCACTAGACCTCTTTCAACCTGAAATAACTGCATCTTGTATGTCCTTGAGTTTAGAAAAACAACTGCTTTCTATGCATTTGTTTGTATGAACTTGATATATCATTTGTAGAAGGAATTCGTTCTTAACGGCTGTTTCTAATTCTCATTAAGTTACAGGATCTCGAAAACATGAAATAACGTAACAAAACGACTGCTAGATTTGTCGAAATTGACGGTATGAATTCGTTATTTGTTTTCAGATTTGTTTTCATATGCTAAACCATGCTTTATTAGTTGATAGCTGTCTGTAGAATTTGCCATTTGCATTAGTGCTGGCAGATTATTTGCCCACGTTTCTTTCACGGTTCATTTTTATGATATGTAGACTTAACAAGCAGTCATAAATATGTTCACTTTCTGTTGATGTTGATAGCTTTTATGTCAAAACAACGATGTAAATCTGTCATATTGACACATCACGTATGTCTGCATGTAAAAGTCTGCCAAGGTCTTCATAACTGAAATGACCTTGACAGTATTACATTACACGGGGTGTTTAAGTCCTTACGTAATTTACATATGTTTGCAAGTTACTCCTCAAAACTTTATACCATAAATAATCACATTTTGAAAAGCTATGAATTCGTCAAAATAGCTTTACTGGTGTTAAAATAATCGGTTTCTTATCTCAAGGCCGCGGCAAGTTTTGTATTAGCTGTATTTACCTCTCCTTTTCATAAATACAACGATAAAAGACATATTTGATTCAATAATAAATACACAAAATATCCGATACACAATTAAACAGGAGGCTTCCAAATAGATAGGAAAGGTAATGATTGTCTGCCAGTATCACAACAAAACACCGTGCAGGGAAACAATTACGTCATAACGAATGCAAGTTTTTTTCTTGTTTTTGTACAAACCTGTGTATCGTACGGTTTGAACAAGTATCAACATCTCTCCAAACTAACCAGTCTCTGGTATTCTTAATTATAGTGGTTTCTTCTAATACATTTTATAAAAAGCAAGGCAATGCTGTTGGAACTTTTGTTAAAAGGAAATGTAGAAAAAGCATCACAACTAAGATCATGTTTAATGTCCGCACTGCACGAAATTGGCACTGACCACACATGATACAAACATATGGTTTGCACGTTGTTCCAGTTACAAGACACGACAAATCGTTATAGACGCTTGCTATACATCTTTCGTAACATTTAGCACAAGACAATGTTAGAAGATACTATACTATTTTTGTTCCGGCGATATTAGACATGCACGTGTCATATGTGCATGACACGTGCGTCTTTATATAATGCATGTTTTTTACATGCATTAGTTCGTATTTTCCCCCTTTTATTGAATGTCGATATCGGACTCCGTAACACGACTGTGGGTGGGAAGAATCTTCGTTCATGTCGTATACGTTCATGGAGCTGTGCGCGTTCCTCGAGGCATTTACACTATCTCACCTCTCCCCTTCCGTCTGAACTCTTTTGTCTGTGAGAAGGATATACTAATCTAATTTATATAAAACGTCGATAGGAATTGGATCTTGTGTAAGACCTAACATTGAGATATAAAGAACGATAAAAATGCATTCGGTGATACTTGCTTTTGCCGGTATCATTAACCCTCATGTGACGTATTTGGTCGGTCAAGTGACACTAACTAAAACGAACTTTCTGCATTGTGAGTATCGTCAGCGTTTAAGTGTGTTTTGTTTTGTTTACAACTTTATGGTTGAGACTGAATCCCTAAATCTAGATAAGAGAATTGTGATTACTGGATGAGTGGTATATTGTATGTATCAGTGTATGTGAAATGATTACTGGATGAGTGGTATATTGTACGTATCAGTGTATGTGCCATGGTTACTGGATGAGTGGTATATTGTATTTATAAGTGTGTGACATGATTACTGGATGAGTGATATATTGTATGTCTCAGTGTATGTGCCATGATTACTGGATGAGTGGTATATTGTATTTATAAGTGTATGTGGCATGATTACTGGATGAGTGATATATTGTATGTATCAGTGTATGTGAAATGATTACTGGATGAGTGGTATATTGTATCCAGAGTGATATATTGTATGTCTCAGTGTATGTGAAATGATTACTGGATGAGTGGTATATTGTATGTATCAGTGTATGTGGCATGATTACTGGATGAGTGGTATATTGTATTTATAAGTGTGTGACATGATTACTGGATGAGTGGTATATTGTATGTATCAGTGTATGTGCCATGATTACTGGATGAGTG